CAGAAGGGTAAATGGCCCCTGGCTCCTCCCCCAGAGTCTTTCTGCCTTTAACCCTGTCCTAGAGCTCTTCCCCGCCTTCCTCCAGGCTGGTTCCGCCTTTTTCCGGATTAGTGGAGGGGGGATTCCCTTATTTTCCTCAAAGCCTTGCTCTCTATCTAGACCAATAGGCCATGCTTCGGTCCTAACCGGGGAAGTCTCTGTCGGGGGCTTGACTCTGGCCGGCCTGAGCTTGGCTCAAGTGAGTCTTCAGTCGGTCTTGAAGGCAAGGTGTCCTCCCGGAGGAAGCCCCCGCGCCAACTCCCTTCATATCCTCCTAGCCCTTCTCAGGCCCTCTTCCTACTACTTCTTCCACCGCTCCGATCCCTCTCCGGGGCCTCCCCACAGTCGAGCCTTCTAAGGGGAGCCCCACGACTGAACATCCCCTTTCCCACTCTTCAAGCCCTCTCACCCCAACTCTGGACTTTCCCTGGACCGCCCTTGCCTCTCCCGGTAAGCCCCGCCCTAGTTCAGTCTCCGCGGTCCCACTTGTCCTAGCCCCTCCTTCGGACAGCCCCTGGGCTTGTGACCGAGTCTGCACCGCCTCTCCTAATCTCAACTGGCCGAGAATGTCAGAGGGGCTCCCTATGGTTTGCTGTCTGCCAGGGGGAGGGGGAAAAGAAGGAAGGGGGCGGGGTTAAGGGGGGCGGGTCTGGACGTGGGGAGTGAAAGCGAAAGCCCAGGCGGCTAGCGGGGAGACCCGAGATCTAGCAACTGGAGCAGCATGGCTAAGCCTTGTGGGGTGCGCTTGAGCGGGGAAGCTCGCAAACAGGTATCGAAAGATCGGGGGGCCAAGAGGGGACTGGGGAGCCCTCCTGGATGGAGGCCAAGCTGTGTGCTCTAGGGGACCAAGGCCGTGCATAGAACTCCCTTAATCTCTTTCTTTAGTGCTTTCGCTTCTGCCTGGGGGAGTCCCAGATTCCTGCCCTGTGGCCAGTCTCTGCACTGAGCATGGACTTCCAGGGAAATCTGGCCTGTGGTGGGAAAGGCCTGAGCCAAATTGGAGGGCATCCATTTGGGAGTGGGATCTTACTCTTGGCAACTGAGACCCTTAACCAATATCCGGGTACTGCTCTGTGCAGGTGGATGTCTTCCGGCAGAATCTTTTCCAAGAGGTAAGTCTTCCGGATGCAGCGATTTGACCTAGAATCTTAGACCAATACTTGAGGGTCACGACCTCTCAGAGCGATCCCCAAACCCACCATACACCTGGGCCCTACTTCCTTTATCAAGCCTTCACTCAAGATAAGCTCCTAATTATTGATCTCTACCTTTAATTTGACCCCTCTTAATACTCTCTCCCCACTTATGCCACTTTCCTCCCCTCTTTTGGTGTGGAGAGAAACACTGTGGCTTCAAAGCAGGAATACCACAGTCCTAATCTTGGTTCTGCCACTTCCTAGCTTGGGCAGGTCCCTTCACTTTTCTGGGCTTCAGTTTCATCATTTGTAGGTCTGGGTTTCAATGATTTCCAAGGGCCTTCCCAGTCCCACTTCTCAGACATCTCATTGAGTGTCTTCTGTGATTTTCCCACCCTTGCAATGTAACCCACAGGCTGAGGAATTCCTCTACAGATTTCTGCCACAGAAAATCATACACCTAAATCAGCTCTTGCAAGTGAGTAGTGGCCCCTCCCATGGCCTCTGTCCTCTCTACCTACCCTCTCTAGCTAACAACTGGACTTAGCATGCAGAGAACAGTTGTGAGTGGGTGTGAGTTCTGGACTGGGAACATTACGATGGTATGAGGCCTGAGCCCAGGTTGGGAGGCAAAAGGCAGGTGAGATGTGGGAAAGCTGGGCAGCCCCTGACAGTAAGCTCTGTGCAGGAGGACTCCCTCAATGTGGCTGACCTGACCTCTCTCCGGGCTCCACTGGACATTCCTATTCCAGACCCTCCACCCAAGGATGATGAGGTAAGGTACTTGTCATCCTTATCTATAAACCCAGTGGAGATGATGGCTCTCCAACTTCCATGACTCTTCCGAATCTACTTTCCCCCTTTTTACCTTAGATGGAAACAGATAAGCTGGAGAAGAAAGAAGGTAAGAGAGGAAGGATTGGCTATGGAATGGGAAATGGCACAGTGACTGCTGGATGAGAAAGCGCTTAAATCTCCTCTTTTACACAGTCCCTAAGTGTGGCTTTCTCCCCGGGAATGAGAAGGTCCTGGCCCTGCTTGCGCTGGTTAAGCCAGAAGTCTGGACTCTCAAAGAAAAATGCATTCTGGTAAGCCTGGGAACTGGTAGAAATAGAAAGAGAACCCAAGCAAGGCCCTGGTATTCTTCAGAGGTGCAAGTCCTACGTTCAGGAACCTATTCCTAAAATAGGAAACTTCCTTCTGTGCCTTGGATTTAGATACCTTTTGTTTTGTTAGACCTCTGATATCACGGTGGTATCCCTGAAATCAGAAACTGTGCTATATCTACCTCCATAACCTCAGAACCCACTGCTATACCAGGTACACAGTACAGGTGCTATGATACAGTGAGTTGGTTTAAGAGTTTGGGCCCTAGAGGGATACTACCTGGGTTCAAATCATGACTGTCACTTACCTAGTTGATTACCTTAAGTAAGTCACTTAGATATTCTGTGACTCAGTTTTTTTATCTGTTAAGTAGGTTTAATAAGAATATATATCTTGAAAGATTGCTGTGAAGATTAAATGAGATATATAATACATAGCACAGTGCTCAATTTAATGCTCAATTAAATATAGCTTTATTAGGAAGTAGCAGAAATAAGAAGAACCCGGTAAGTCTGTTGAATGATTCCTACATGTTACCTCTTAACACAGGTGATCACATGGATCCAGCACCTGATTCCCAAGATTGAGGATGGAAATGACTTTGGGGTGGCAATCCAGGTAAGAAAAGGGTATGTGAAGATGTTAAGAGACGTGAGAGACTTGGGGAGTGGAGGGTAGGAGCTAGATACAACTGAGAGGAAGAGGGAGATGGTGAGTGAAGGAAGGAGGAGATGAAGTGTTTTATTTGCCTCCCATCTCTGTTGTCACCACAGGAGAAGGTGCTGGAGAGGGTAAATGCAGTCAAGACCAAAGTAGAAGCCTTTCAGACAACCATTTCCAAGTGAGGGCAGCTGGAGGGCCAGCATCGGGGGCTGTGGGGACATTTCTTTGGGACTCCTCAAGCTGGGCAGTTCCCTCAGGGGAATGGGGGCTTTGGGAAGGGTCTGAGGGAGTATGTCTTTCTGAGCACTCATTCCTGTGGTTACTCCCCTTGCTTCCGGCAGGTACTTCTCAGAACGTGGAGATGCTGTGGCCAAGGCCTCTAAGGAGACCCATGTAGTGAGTGGATTGTCCAACAGCTTTTCAGCTGAGGCTGGCTTAGGGTGGGGTGAGGAAACGGGGAGAGAGGTCCTTTTTGTGTTGTTTATGACCTTCCTCATGTGAAGAATATTAAGCAAAGAGCATTGCCTAGGAAAACTGATTTGGGCTTCAAAAACCTTGACCCTTTTCTATGTTTGGTCTTGTGGGAATCCCATTTCTTGGTGCTGAGAAGGGCTCATCTTTAAGTTACCTATTCCCTATATGAGGAAACCAAACTGTGTCTCAACCTTCCATGACGCTGACACAGCTTTGCTTTCCATATCTCAGATGGATTACCGGGCCCTGGTGCATGAGCGAGATGAGGCGGCCTATGGGGAGCTCAGGGCCATGGTACTGGACCTGAGGGCCTTCTATGTGAGTGGGGAGTAAGCCCCTAAGGGAGGAGAGTGAGGGGGCAGAGGAAAGGCCAAGAACCTGATTACTGCCCTTCTGATTTTCTTCTAGGCTGAGCTTTATCATATCATTAGCAGCAATCTGGAGAAAATTGTTAACCCAAAGGGTGAAGAGAAGCCATCTATGTACTGAGCCCAGGGCTAGAAGGGAAATAAATGACCTATACTATGTGTGGAGTACCTCTGGTGTGTGTCATTCATTCGAAAAGCATTTACTGAGTGCCCCCCACTGAATGTGAATATAGTGGTAGAAAAGGGAGGGGGTACCAGGAAGACAAAGATGAATTAGATGCCCATCCCGTTCTTAAGAAGTCATCCTGAAAAACAGGGTAGAAACTGTTACATGCCATGACAACCATGAAGATAACCCGTATTTAGGAATTTCACAAGGTTATTTCCATCCAGGGATCTCATAAGTGCTTCTTGGAAGAGGTGGCATTTGGGCAGAGCCCTTATAGGTATAATCAGGCTTTGGACAGACAAACGGAAAGCTCTGTAGCTTAGGTCAAGGAATGAAGAAAGGAAAAACATTTCATCACTTATCAGCTCAGAACAAGCCTGGAGGCATAATGAGGTTTCACTGGAAGAATGAATTGGACTCCACAGATGATTGGACTCCTTCTCAAGGGCTGGGAGGGGAAAAAAACTCCCAAAGCATCGTAATGAAGAAATTACACCACAAGACATGAGAAGGATAGATCGGTACATTTTTTTTTTGGGGGGGGGGTCTTTTTTCCTTCTCTTTCAGCCAATTACTGTCTTTATTTCTGCAAATATTACATTAAAGAAACCAAGGGCCATGGCACATTACTAAGTGGCAGAGCCGGTCTAGAATATAAATCTACATAGTAGGAGCAAGGCGGCCGGCTAGGTGTCCAAGTTCGAAGATCCACAGCTGCCGGACAGCCGATGCAGGGTGCGAGGTCCGTCTTGCTGGCTCTTCCGGGCCTTTGGGAGTGCACAGGTAGCAGAGAAAGCTATACTGCAATCAAGAGCCGGAGTCAGATAGCCTAACCAATCAGCGTGCAGGCAGTTCTCTCCTTTGTAGTTGTGAATTCTTTCCAGTTCGCTGGAAACAAAGGCGAGGCAAGGTTTGAACGCGGCCAGTGAGTGGACAAAATGAGAACCTCTAATCCTATCAAAGAGCAGCATGTGGGCAGGACTCCAGAGTCGGATTCTGCTTGGAGCGACGGGCTCTGGGTCTCTGAGACTCGCGCAAATCTGCTTCCTCCCTCTGGGGGCGGGCAGAGGCGGAGTTCGGTGCCGCAGCATGCAATCGGACCGCCTACATTACAGGCCTGGTTGGGGGCAGACCTCCAGAGCCGCGATCACCTGGAGCCAGCGGGCTGCCTTCGAACTGAGGCAGTTACCACCAAACCTAAGTGAGGGGGCACGGAAAGGGCCAGGGAGGGCGCCGGGGCGCTGGAGGAAGCTTCGCCGACGCCAGCTGGGGCTCCGCTCTCCATGGGCGAGGTGGAGATCTCGGCCCGGGCCTACGTGAAGATGTGTCTGCACGCCGCCCGGTACCCGCACGCCGCGGTCAACGGGCTGTTACTGGCGCGGGCGCCGCAGTCGGGAGAATGCCTGTGCCTCACCGACTGCGTGCCTCTGTTCCATAGCCACCTGGCCCTGTCCGTCATGTTGGAGGTCGCGCTCAACCAGGTGCCGCACCTAAATGCCCAACAGCCACCAAGAAACCCTCTAATCCCCTTAGCCCAAACCCATCCTCGGCCTCTTGGCAGCGATGTACACCCACCCACAGGGCGGGTGGCACAATTTAGTTACTGATGGACCTTTTCCGACGGCAGGTGGACGTGTGGGGCGCGCAGACCGGTCTAGTAGTGGCTGGGTACTACCATGCCAATGCAGCTCTAGATGACCAGAGGTGAGTGGGGTAGCCAGAGGCAGAAAGAGTTATGGGGAGGGGGTGGGAGATCAAGAGAACCCCTCTTGGTTATTCCTTCCATCTTTCCTTAATCAAACGCTTAGAATTAGGGACTTGTACAACAGGCAGGGGGCTGGGTACTGGAGTGAGGAAATATAAAGAAATATAAAGATGCTCAGGAGCTGTGGTGGGAGTAGGAAGGACAGCCGTATGTTAATAAGAAAAGGCACACCTGCTTTAAATGAAGTGTCCCCCAACTGTTGAAAGAACACAGGAAGCCCAACTAGCAGCTTTGGAAAAGGAAATTTTTATGCATATAGAAAAAATTATCTACTTATTTATTAAGCATGTATCTGGGTCAAATTATACATACTGTTTTGTAATTTGTTTTTCTTCATTTAATAAATATTTGACTTCTTTCCATCTCTACACCAAGATCTGCCTTACTCTAAAGCTATTTGGTATGAATAAGGATCTACCGTAATTTATTTAATGCCTTATATTAAACATTGAGATTGTTTCCAGTTTTTTATTATACTGTCTTATTATTACAATAACTTTTATAAGTGTAATTTCTAGGTTAGCATATGTATAGTATAGTATATAGTTCAAATTTGGATGCTTATGCCAATTACCCTCCAAGACCTTTGATTTCCACTCTCACTAGCAATGTCTGAGCTCCTTTTTCCCACAGCAGTCAAGCATCAAGCAGTCGTGTATGAAGCATCAAGGAAGCCTGACCCCTCCAGGTCAGCTACAGGGAAAGGCAATCACTGCTCCACGTCAATGAGACCCGGGAGGCACAGCTCAGATGGATGGGGTCTGCCCACAGTTGGCTCCTCACTCCTTTGATCTTCCCTCTACACAGCCCTGGGCCCCTGGCCTTGAAAATCGCTGGGCGGATTGCGGAGTTCTTCCCTGATGCAGTACTTATTATGGTGAGGCTTGGGTTTGGAGGAGGGGGTTGTAAAGAAAGTAGAAAGGGGGATCCTTGAAGCCCTCACCTGCCCTTCCTTGTCCACACAGTTGGATAATCAGAAACTGGTGCTTCAGCCTCATGTGCCCCCCGTCATCGTCCTGGAGAACCATGGCCTCCACTGGGTCCCCAAGGACAAGAACTTGTGAGTGTCCCACTCTCTCTACCTCTTCTTGGAAACCCATGGAGGCTGGGCCTCTTCTGTCCTTGGTCCTGTACCACGGGTTGTTCTCTAGACCAGGGATCCCTAACCCCTGGGCTGAGGACCGGTACCAGTCTGTGGCCTGTTAGGAACCGGGCTGCACAGCAGGAGGTGAGTGGCAGGTAAGCAAGTAAAGCTTCATCTGTATTTGCAGCCCCTTCCCAGCACTAGCATCACCAACTCAGCCCCACCTCAGATCATCAGGCATTAGATTCTTGTAGGAGCATCGGTCCCTGGTGCCAAAAATGTTGGAGACCGCTGCTCTAGACCTAACTTCTGTCATGTGTCTGGTCTCGCTGCCTGCTGAGTTTGACCTCCATGAGGGTTATTATTTCAGAGTCATGTGGAGGGACTGGGAAGAGTCACGGCAGATGGTGGGAGCACTACTGGAGGGCCGGGCTTACCAGCACCTTGTGGACTTTGACTGCCATCTTGATGACATCCGACAGGACTGGACCAACCAGCAGCTCAACACCCGAATCACCCAGTGGGTTGGTCCCACCAATGGAAATGCCTGAACCAGGGCCAGAGGAGGTGGTGTGTGTCAGGATCCAATAAAGAGACTTGAGCTGTTGGGTACCACTAGGACTCTATTTATTGTGCCTAGGAGGCAAGGGGGTTGGGGAGGGGAAGAGAACTCAATAGGTGGAAGGTGGGACAAAGTTTGGAGTGCCCTGTCGAAGATAGGAAGGTCTCTGCTGGACCCATCACAGTATGAGAAAAGGCTCTCAATAGATCATTCCCTTTGTTTCTCCCCTGGGCTTCTTGAGCTTCTCGAAGTTCTTCAGGATGATGTCATATAACACAGCCTATGGGGTCAGGAAGAAGTGGGGATCAGCTGCAGGCCCCAGTGGCTCTGTGCCCCATTTCTCTAGCCTTGTGGACAGACCAAGCTTTGTCACCCTTCACCCCTAGCCCATAGGGTCAGGGAGGGGGTGGCCTGGGAAAGCTGCCTCTGCCTACAACTGCCCCGTCCTCTCCTCACATAAGCATTTCGGATCTCCATGACCATCAGCCGGATGTCCCGGTACTCTGCCTCATCCAGCTCGTGCACCAGCTGCCGATAATCACCCTGTTGGAGACCTGGGTCAGGCCTGACTTCAAACATGTCCTTCCCCCCATGACCCTGACCTGGGCCTCACCTACCACATGGGGCTGCTTGGCTGCTTTGGTCACGGCATCACCCCGCTCAGAGAAATACCTGTGGGAAGTAGAATGGTGTGGAGTGGGAGAAGGAGGAGAGTGCCCAGGCCTCTGTCCAAGCCAAAGGCAGAGTTTGCATGCAGGTACAGCTGGGCAGACACTCACTTGGAGATTTGAGTGTGAAAGCCTTCCAGCTTGGTGTGAAGGGCGGTCATCAGCTCAAACACCTTCTCCTGGGGAAAGAATGCAAGGAGGAAGTGGAAAACAGCATGGATTAGAGACATAAGGGCAGAAGAGTGGTGCAGCACTCTCACCTGGACAGCCACTCCAAAATTGTTTCCATCCTCAATCCGAGGGATCTGCAGCTGCAACCAGGTGGTGACCTGGGAGAAGGGAAGGGCATCAAAGCCACATCAGTCCCCAACCCAATTCCCAGGTTCCTGTCCTTCCTTGCTTCCCTGCCTAAGGTGGGTATAGGAATGCTAGGCCCATTCTGAGCTCCAGGGCCTGGACTTCTGGCTTCATTTGCTGTGCCCTCTCCTGCTGAGACCTGGCAAGGGCCATGCCCTAAGTGGCAGGGACCAAGGAAGACAAAAGGTTTGACCTAAAGCCTAGGGATGGAAGTGGGAAGGCTCACGAGGTTAAGTTGCTCAATGACATCCTTGATTTCAGGCTTTAGGCGCTGTAGAAGGATCACAATCTTCTCATTGCAGTTCACTGGGCCACAGGGAGGACCTAGAGTGGGCAGTGACTCAGTCACATGGTTGAGACTGCATGAGGTATGGGGAAGAGGAGCTCCTGGGAGGTGAGACTCAAGTCCTTTCCCACCAAAGTAATACCTTTGTCTTCGTCTTCCCCTTTTTTCTTTTCATCCTTGTCTTCCTTCTGCAGGGAAAGAAGGGTTCTTGGGAGTCAGGCCTAAGGCTGATTTTTTCCCCCACGGTTGGGTCCCTCCTCCCAACTCTTCCTGGCTTGCCTCCTGCTGTTTCTTCCGCTCCTCTTTCTCTTTCTCCTTGACTGGATCAGGCACTGGGATGTCCAATGGGGCTTTCAGATTGCTCAGGCTGGCTTCATTGAGTGCTGGCTCCTGGTGTAGATAGGGGGATGGCTGGAGGCAAAGGCATCCTCCCTCTCACCTCCTCACTCTCATGGCCCCCCTTGAGGGTACTGCCTTGGCCCCTACTCTCTAGCTGCCTGCCCAGCCCCAATACCTTTAAAAATGCATCCAACTCAGAAATCTTCTTGGGGAAATAGCTTCCGAGCAGGTTCTCTGTCTGAGTGAGGTGGGGGTGGGAAAGATGGGGGTCAGAATCAAATGCCCTTCCTAGGCAGTGCAGCAGGGCTGAAGCTGCCCAACAAGGAAGGGCTGAGCCATGGGAGTTGGGTAAGGATGTGATGCTGATGGGGTAGATCTTACCTTGGTACACAGGTCTTCACGGAACACATCGACCTGTGGGACACAGGCAGCCCTTCAGACACCTGGCTTTATGGCCAGTTCATTATGAGAGCTGTTCTCTTAGGGTTGTGTAGGGCCTGGCTTGGGAAAGGGTGGAATGGATCCCCACTGGATTTGGGGGATGAGAACATTCCTGGCGGTGAAGGGAGAGTGGTTCAAGTGAGAACAAATCTCTCAGGTCTCCTGGGCTGTGTAAGGAGAGGTCTAAGAGCCTTCTGCGACAGGGGCAGGGACGGAGTGCCCCGTGGAGCAGGCCCCGCGGCCCTCCATCCCCGTGTGAAAAGTAATGAGGTGGCAAGGCAGGTTCCGCAGCCCCTCTGTGTGTGGGCCCGGCCCCGGGCCAGCGGACTTCCCTTCCACGCTAGCTCTTCGCTTCGCCTCACCCCGCTGAACCTCGGCCGCCTTCCTTCTCCGGGTAGGCAGACCCCACTGGTTTCCCGCGGGCTCAGGTGCTCCAGGCACACAGGCTCACTTGGGCTCGATGACTGACCCTAACTCGTGTCTGGGGGCTGGGGAAGAGGGGGTAGGATCACGGACGCCCTTTTGGCGCCATGCCTCACTAATGGGCCCTTCTTCGAACCCGCAGCGCTCACCTTGGCTTGGGCTTCAGGCTGGACCCTGAGCATGGCCATGGCAGGGGCAGGGGGCCTAGCGCCTCACGAGGAGCGAGGAGTGGGCACCGCCAAGGGAAAGCGAAAGCAGCGCGCGTAACCCACACGGCCTTCCTGGGTAGCGGGGAGTGGAGGCACTGGAGGAGGCGGGGACAGGCCAGAGAGAAAAGAGCCAGGGGGCGGAGGAAGAAGGCTTATGAGGGGCTCCCCCTAGAGCTAGAGAGGAGCCTTTCCATCGACCTCC